ATATCCCCCGGCTTCGAGATTCTTCATCTCTCGGTGTGCATGTGGCGAGTTCGCACTTCTCAAAAATCAGGGCCAACAAGGGAAACAAGGGGTGGCTGAATAAATGAAAGAGTGAACGAAAAACTTTGTATCACACGGCCAGAAAATATGTATCGAATTTAGAAGGGCTATTATATTGTTAAAAGTCCTTCCAGTGAACAGAATATACTTTTCTTGCAAGGGTCCATAAGGTAGAGAGGGTTGAATGACCTTGAAAAATAACGATCCTGCGCAGCTGCAGCGCAAGTAAACGACCACATCTTTTACCTCAATGCTGGCCATTCTGCCATTCATTCAAATCACAATAGCGTAGTTTCAGGTTTCTCTCCACTATCGTTGAATCAGTCTCTGTTCGGAACTTCCTGTCTCAGTTTTGAGGGCAAAACGTTTTGTGTACCGAACAGAAAGCCGATTAAAAAGAGAAAAAATTACTTTCCCAATATTATTCTATTGCTGGGAAACGATTCTCTGCCATGATCAGTCCACTATTTCTCCCCCGGAGAATTAATACCTTGTGAGTGACCTTTTGGCGTTCTAAACACAGCTACCATAGGCGTCGAAAATTTGAGGATTGTTTTCAAAATAAGAATTAAGTTTCAGGGCTTGTGCCATTGGTTTTCTAGTCTTCTTGAATCATTTTATTACGTCAGCAAGTTTTTAACTTAGCCAGATTTGGACTGCAGAGCATCCTTTTGGACTGTACTTCATGTTATCACTAAATGGAGGGAGGGTGTAACTATAGGGGGTTATGCTAGCGCAGGGTAAAGATTGCTATTTGCCCATTAACTCAAAATTTATATTATTTTGTTCAAACGTAAAAAATGTTTTTCAGCGCAAAGCGAACACTCAGAATTGTTTCTGCATCATCATAATATTGGTGATGTTCAGGACTCACTCACTAGCTTTGAATCAGAAGCGAGTGTCTTGTTTCTGTAGGCGGTGTCTTGAGAGTAATAACCGCTCTATTTGGGAAGCCCAGCCTTCTAACATGAAGATAAACGTCTTGAACAGTAAAAACTGGTCTCCATAGAAGAGAGATCCGAAAAAAGGCTGTTTTATCTGAAGTTTTAGGGCGTGAACCGATTTATTTCATAATATAAAACATGAAGACTGAAATCCTCCCACATGAATTACCTATTTCACTTGTGTTGTTGGAAGTTCTTCCAAGAAGTGGTACTTTCATATAAAAGGAACAAATGAAAAGTGCAGCTGCCCAACCACTTAGCTATAGTGATACAAACTTCTCACCTTTCAATGGCTTCTACATAGACTTTTAAATCGGCCGCATTTTCAATTGCTGGACCTGTGATCAGGTTAGACGAACGTAGGTGAGTCAGGTCCGAAGTTGTCGGGGAAATAGGGAACAAATTGACTGGATTGCTGGCTCCACAGGATAAGAAGGAAGCAGAACGCAAAAAGGGAGAATCACCCAGAGGCATAGACAAACTGGAGTTCAGTGGACTGGCTTTCATGGGACCTAGTTGTGCGCACAGAGCCGGAGGGGGTGGTGAGATCAGTGTGGGTAGCATTCGTCGATCTGGTGAACTGATGTCGGCTATGTTCTGACTGTCTTTACCACGGTTTGTTGTAATGTCCTTGTGATTCATACCTACGGGCAACCGGAACCGGTGCCCAGGAGACGGAGTCGGATCTAGAAGGAAGAACGCAGAGATTTTATAAACATGATTTTGAAAAGGCAGTTGCTTATCAATCAAGCACAGTGACCAAGCTAATCAATAACTTCGTTCCCAATAATATTGGTCGGTGATAGATACATTTGTGAAACATTTCTTCGCCACCAGGTAGAGGAACCTCTTCAAGACAACCTTCTGGTTGGTGACTAGTCTACAAAGATCACAAGTGCTTTCCTCATGCCACTTTATGGATTTTCCACACAAAAGTAAGCATTGTCCTGAGGAGAAAATGGAAAACCTCTTCACACTGGAATAGGCTAAATTCTCGGACCAATATCCGATAGTAACTAAGATGATGTGTTTGGAAATTTTTACGAAATACTGCAATCGAGTTTAATGTATGACTAAAAATAGCCGTGATACACGTCTCGCTTTGGTTGATACTAAAGAATATTCCTCCCGGGTAAGAAATTTCGGTCTACAGTTGACGCGAATGTAACAGGAGATTTACGAGCAATTTTGGATTTTTAAGTAAAATTCGTCATCCTGGACTTATTCTGCATTATGTTCTTGTAAACTTCAACAGAATCCGCAGTCCTTCTAAAAAAACATATATTTCCCACTTTTTAGCTCCCTAAGCGGTGAATCCGATATTTTTTCAACCCAAATTTTACCATGAATTGTAATAAAATGAGTACTCCAGGGGCTTCCAATCAAGTGGATCACCAAACTACCGACCAGAATCCCATAAAACGGTTCCTCCAAAAAAAGCTTCCCACGCGAAAGTATTTACACCGCACAAAAGGAATAGTTTAGCGTTTGTGCCAGCGTTCCGTTACCTCATCGCTATCGAGATCGACGTCAGTAGTCAACCTCTTTATTCCGCTATTTTTTGCGAGGAGACTACCACTCGAGGGCACAGAGGGAGGCGGATTGGACAAGTGGATTTAGAGAGTAAATTTGATAGATGGAAGCCCCAAGGAAGTCATATTCAAGGCAGGTGTCATGGGGCCGAAGTGAAGTGGTCGTAATCCCAAGAGAGATCGACGGTGAACTGTCGTATTACCAAAAAGTACTGAAGTTTTCTGGGACGATTGGCTTGAAACTTCTTTGAAATAACCAGGCGCAAAAAACACCGAAGTTATTTGTGAATATCTACATCTTTTCTCTACTGAGCCTCGGATTGAAGATTACAGTCACACCCACCTCTAGTTTCAGGCACCATTGGATTTAGCTTAGGCTTCACTACTACCGTCTTTTATATAATGTCCTTTCGATAATTTGAGTCCCAATGCTGGAACTAATCTTCACTGGCTTGAAGTATACAGTTTATAAAGGGTGCATTTGGCAGACTATTCAAGGAAATGCCCAGCCAAAGTTTCCGTTGCTTTAAGGTAGGAGAAAATCTACAGGTTCACCTATTTAGGGAAAAATATTGAGTGCTGTTTGACCTCTATGATACCTTGGATCACTTATATCCCATAAAACCTGCTAAGCAGATAAGCCTTAAGGAGTACAGCCTGCTATTTTAACCGTATAGGGATACTTCTTGAAATCAATGACACAAAATTAGAACTGTACTTCCAGTTTCGAACAAAATTAGACTGTACTTCCGGTTTCGATTTGTCAGATTCCACAATGACACATATGAATGAAGCTAGCCAAAAGGCCGAGCAGTACATTCGAGAAATGAACTCATTTGCAAATCATTCTGGTTTTCACGAGAGACTCAACTGATTTTCTCGTTTGTGATGTTCTACAACTGAATGTGCTGCACACAGGCCGTCTCATGTTTCAGTTGGCACGATATTCGAGATATCGCGGAGTGAGATATCGGACTGATTTTGACAATTTGGGTTCAAGTAGAACATACGTTTGTCGGGAACTCGGGGACTGCGCCTACCTGATGAGCCCCAAGGGAGGCGAAACCGGTCGTGGGCTGTCAAAGAGGTTTCATAAACCTTGTGAGTAGTTTCCTTTCCGAGCAGTACATTCTTTCTAGCCAACCAACAGTTCGATGTGGCCAATCTACAGCAATCATTATGAAAAATGTGAATGGCCTTTCGATGTCTCATGGGGGTGACTTCTATTTGTGACTAATAGAACACCAAATCGTGATTGACTAGAAACGTTACTTCCGTTTCCTTTGAAATGAGCTTCATCAAGTGCACCTTATCAAACGAAGAGTGGACATCACCGAACAACATGTGTATGACCCGGGGTGTTGGAAAAAGTTGACCCTTTTTGTGAAGCGATTGCAGTGATGCCGTCCAAGACAGCTGCTTCCTGGGGGGCGTGCTGTTTGTTTACTAGAATGCAGTTATTTTTCCAATAGAAAATAACGAGTTATGGTTACGGGGGAGCCCAACAGTATTCGGCACATTTTTCCTCTTTTGGCGTCAAGCGAGCTGGTCGAAATTGTTGAATCCATGCAAAGCAGGTATATGAATAAAGAAGATTGAGCTTCTTGCAGTGGCATTCAAAAATCACTGTAAGTTACGTTCGTCTGTGGATATTTAACTGCACCAAACTACAGTGAAGATCGCAAAGGAGTTCGCAACTCTTTACACAACTTCCCAAGGATTCCCAGGACATTACGCACTACGGTTGATTGAATCATGCCATGTGAATTCGAAGCCGGATCTGCTACGTAAGACGAAGCGACGTCGAACTAGCACTGGATCAAGTGTTAGCTAGAACCAGTATGTTCGATAATTTTTACTGGTTCATTCATGGAATGATCATTCCACTACTGACCACACCGAAGTCGTAAAGGCCGGTTGCTAGATAACAAAACGCTAGATTCATTTTCTTTATCTCAATTCTACTCAATGGGTTTTCGTTTCAAATGCATCAATGGAACTTTTTTCGGCTATCATTTGCTCAAACCACAAAATGTCTGTTGATATCGTGATTGCAATCCACAGCCGGATGATGAGCTTAAATTAAAATTTGCTTGGCATTCTTGTCCTTCGAATTCAAGGGTATACATTTCGTCGACTCACACTTAAAGACTCAGTGAAGGTGTCAGACACCTCAAACTACGAAGGACTTTTGATAACGCACTGCACTATTCGAACACAAGCCGTTCAAAAAGCTGAACGGTCACTATTCTCATAAGGGAAAGCAGTAAGTCAGTCTAAGAGCTGCTGTTCAGTGACCCTTAAACCATGAAGAAGAGTGCCCTTATAAAGAGTGTAAAGAAGGTAAAAGTTGAATTTTTGTTTGTTGGTGATCCGAGGACCCAAGGACAAAGTGTTCGAACCTAGTTAAAAATTTTACAGTCACGTGCGCATCAAATTAGGTTTTTATCCAGCTACTGTAGGTAAATGCATTCATGCCACTTCAACACAATATCCTGTCGAAAGTCCGGAAGAGCCGGAAAATAGTTGTCTTAAAAAAAGTGATGAGTTTGCCAGGCTGGGAATTTTTGCCTGACATGAAAAGAGTGGTTTTGAAAATTTGCGGGAGAGAGAATTCGATGTGTTTCTTTTGAAATCAAGCTGCGTCATTGCAAAATCCCAAACTGATACGGCAATAACTAGAGATCCAAGAGAAGCATTCCATTCATCATGTTCCTTGACAGCACGTGTCACACCAGTTAGTTTATGCCGTGACCCCAAACAGGGTTATCTGACTGATAGTTCAGAATCTCATCTACCAAGCCGCTTAAGCAGATAGTGGGTGCGACATTTTTAATTTTGGTAAGTTGTTGCTTGTGATGCATGAACTTTTCAAAAAGATTCGTTTGTCAGCTATAAAGGTCAGTCTCCATTCCATCTGCCGGTTTCATCACAGCAAGAATGACTTTGTTCCTCTACATTGGGGATAGCCGAACACGGTCGCCACAGCAATCTAACATCCGTTCAACTTCTGAATAAATCTGCTACCTTGACATAAGTATCTACTTATAAGATGGTGTTCTGCATCCCACTACCGGTTGCGTCCCTCTCGAGTCGCAGTCCCCAGGCTTCCTAACCTTGTGCTCTCATTACACGCCAGACTGTACACAACTAACAAATTATATTTACGTGCTAATTATGTTGTTGATGTTGACAACAGACTCAGCTGAATCTGAATATCACAAGCACTACAGTCAGCTGGGTTTACCGTTGACACCAGTGTGGTTGACAACTGAGTGCGCCATATTAATTCTGATGCCTCTTCAGAACACGGCGATGGAAGCGCAGTTACAGATATTGCTTCCAATACCAACACACTATTTGAAGTGATGATACTGAACTTGATCTGGCCAGAATATGGGGAATTTGCGCTCGGGGAATGTCCTGAATGGCAACGGGTGGGTAATTTGAGAAATTCTGTATCTGATTCTAGTGATTTGGTAAAATTGCCACGTATGGTAGGAAAGTGAGTAACAAAAAATACTGTCACAATCATAAGCCACAGTCATATTATTGTCAAACAGAACTTTACAGCCTTGTACCGGAAAGAGTCTCAATACAGAGGGAGAGAGAAAGCCTTGTTGCCAGCATGCCACACCTTCTTCCGGGGGCGCACAACCTTAGAAGCCGATAAACCCAATTGCTTAAGAAAAGAAAAAAGAGCGTTCACAAGGCCACTACCCTTTCTGCGAAAACAGCACATGCTGTGCTTATTAAGTAAAGGCCCAATATTAATTTAAGGCGCACTTGTGAGATAAAACTCAGGTCACCAGTCAATAACCAGGACAGCGTTTGTCGGAAATTCATCCAGAGGATTATGCGAACCCTAACGTGAAAAGTTAGTCGAATGGACCACATTGGAAGTCTGTGAAGTAAATAACTGTTTCCGCTTTAAATCTTTTTCATTTTTGAAGCAGCATAGTGCATACTGGAGTTGCTATTGCTCACACTACCAAATGCACTCACAGTTAACTTACTCCTATCCCACCAAATTCCCGTTTGCTCATAACCTAGTTAATAGTCTCTGTCCTAAAAAACTTGTCTAATGATCAAGGCGATCCTTCATCCCCAAAGGATGAAACTACCAACCACAATAAATGACAGAGTGTATTGTCACCTCATAAACTCAAACCGCATAACCAATGACATGACATTACAAATAACCGAAGTGAGTGACATAAGCATATACGGTAATGCTCATACACCTTAATTAGCATAGCTGATGCAGTTTTCTGAATATATTGACGCTGAACACATGGATCCTGTGTAAGCGTCACCAGAGTTAGTTTGAACATCCTCCGGTCTGCGCTTGACGCATATGTCGAAGAATTGGATGTTTCTGATTGGTCCTTAAGAGAATAAGATTTAGAATACAATATACTGTCTGTGCGTCATTTGTCTCTGTACATGCAAAAAGCTACGCAGTAAGTCGATCTGGTGTGTTGAACTCTGTAAGGTGAAGAAATGAGGTGGCAAGTTGATTTCCATATCGCAGGGTTTCCTCAAATTCTAATTTTCTGAATAAGGTTGTGCTTATTCCGTATGGCATGGATTACTAGAAAACTATCGGAGTGCCAAAGGTGGACTCAAATACAAAGCTTTATTTGGCGTTCAGAAAGAAAAGAAAGAAACGTTCAGCTGTTGCACCCTTCAGGTGCCTAACTGCCATGCCACCCAAAGGTTGCACGAGGGCCAGGATACTGTCAGGTTGCCCAAGCCCAGACAATGGAAGTCGAGTGGCGGAGGTCGGGTTCGGACCACGGACCTTCCGGTCAGTAAATTCGCGTTCTAACCACTCGGACCATCTCGCCCCATTGGCTAAAAAAACCATATAAGCACTTCTTCTGTCATTCCAATGATTGTGAAACGAAGTTTCCCTTGTCCGAATACTTGAGTATCTGACCGGGAGTAAATCATGTTAGTATCTTATGGAGTCTAGAATGCGCGATCTCCGGGTTAACAACCTGAACCCAATCGTTTGTCCACAAGTGGTTGATTAGCAGTGTGACTGGCTCACACTCAGAATATACAGCAGTGCTTCGCAGATTTACAGCATAGACGAACCGTTATTTGCTGTATTCTGCTAGATCAAAATATACCCACCTAAAAATTAGCTCCTTGTCGCATGGGACCACAATACGATACTAAAGTTTTGATGTTTGATCCTCAAAGCAAAACTTCTTATGGACGGACCATTTTCTCAAATTTTTGTCAAACAGGTGTTACTAAAAACTATTTTTGGTTGATGCATTAACCAATACATTGATTTATTGATCGTAGATGTACCTCAAGGTTATTTGGACGGGCCAAATTCAGCTTAAGAATAATTTAATTGACTTCGATTGCGTGAGGGAAAGTGACAAATGGCTGCGCATATATTGTTCCATCTACAATCTTTGATTTATTAATTTCACATCGGAGTGTATGAGGAAACGACAAGGAAAACCCGGCATCTCTCCCAGTGCGGATGTTTCTTGTTGAGCACGAGACACTTTGTGGTGGGGCTCACAAATTCCCATTTTATCAGCATAATTATAGTAAGCCTGTTTGATGCAATTTGCCAGGTCACTTTGGTTGAACCATCCAGGACGGTGTTACTAACTAGTTTCACTCGCAACAGCTGCAGTAACTACCATTCGATTCAACTGCTGTCCGCTTTTTTCCAAAAACTTTGCGATAGCATCGGCCTAAAAATGGGTGGCTAGTTTTCTTCTGAGAATAACAATTGCACGGAAACAACTTTCCTTAGACCTCAAAACAGGAACTTTGGATAACCGCACGACTTTTGGATTTCCTTTTGATATGCCTCTGCTTATGACTGTACAAGCCAGCTAAAATGTCAGAAGTAAGTTTTCACAACATTTCATCATCCGAAACAGTATGAACAAATACGATAAAGACACCGTTTGCCAGGTGAAATTTTGTTTATTTATCCGGTGACAAGGACTTAAATAGTTAAAAATAATCTCAAAATTGAGATGCTTTGCAACGCAACCGTCCCTACTGTTTTTTTCGAAAATCTGGCCTCAAAAAGTCTACAATGACTGGTTTGTTTTCTTCCCTTCCCCTGAGCACTCTAGGTCGGTCGTGCTGCCGCCCATGAAAAAATTCATTTTCATTGTATAGACGTAAAGCACTACTCATAGGGTTGCTGAAAATTCTTTAACAGCCCATGCCCTTTATTAGGTCCCATCAGGTAGACGCAGTCCCCGAGTTTCCGTCAACCTTATGTTCTACTTGAAACCGAGTTGCATGTTAATTCCGTGCAATTTGGTTTCAAGTAGAACATAAGGTTGGCGGAAACTCGGGAACTGCGCCTATCTGATGAGCCCTCTAATGGCGAAACCATTCGTGGGCTATCGAAGTATTTTCAGCAACCTTATGAGTAGCGCATTTCGTATATGCACATATTGCGATACCTCGAATATCGTAGCAACTGAAACATGAGGCGGCCTGGTGAAGCAAATTCAGTTGCCTGGAAACATCACAAACGAGTAATTCAGCTGGGTTCCAGGTGAGTCTCTTGCAAAACCATATTTGTTTGCAAATTACTGTATTTCGCTAATTTTCATTGACTTTATGGGATGCCCGGGCTTCAACCCTGAGGTATAAGGAGAAAGTTTCGTTTATAACCTCACCACATTTGGTATGCATGAAAAGCTTTCCATTGGAGCAGGAAATAAGATCTTTAGGAGATGAATATGTACCCTTCTCCATTCATCAGCAAACAAGCCTTAACCCTTCGAATTTCGGAACAATATGGAACATTAGCGAATATACACTCATCTGCGAATTAATTTGGTTCATTCGAGAGACTCACCTGGTGCAGCCCATTCAGTTGCCTGAGAACATCATGAACGAGAGATTCAGCTGGGTTCCAGGTGAGTCCCTCGAAAGAACCAAATTAGTTTGCAGATGAGTGTATATTCGCTAATGTTCCATATTGTTCCGAAATTCGAAGGGTTAAGGCTTGTTTGCTGATGAATGGAGAAGGGTACATATTCATCTCCTAAA